CATCATCCTCCGACACTTCCGCTATCTGCAATCCGACCCCACCACCAAAGACATCTTTCCCTCCCCACCCTTATCTGCTTTCCGGAAGGACAACTCTCTCCGTGACTCCCTTGTCCGCTCCACACTCCCCTCCAGCTCCACCACACCCGGCACTTTTCCCTGCAACCGCAGGAAGTGCTACACCTGCCCCCATACCTCCTCCCTCACCCCCATCCCAGGCCCCAAGAAGACTTTCCACATCAAGCAGATGTTCACCTGCACATCTGCCAATGTGGTATACTGCATCCGCTGTACCCGGTGTGGCTTCCTCTACATCGGGGAAACCAAGCGGAGGCTCGGGGACCGCTTTGCAGAACACCTACGCTCGGTTCGCAATAAACAACTGCACCTCCCAGTCGCGAACCATTTCAACTCCCCCTCCCATTCCTCAGATGACATGTCCATCCTGGGCCTCCTGCAGTGCCACAACGATGCCACCCGAAGGTTGCAGGAACAGCAACTCATATTCCGCTTGGGAACCCTGCAGCCCAATGGTATCAATGTGGATTTCACAAGTTTCAAAATCTCCCCTCCCCCTACCGCATCCCAAAACCAGTCCAGCTCGTCCCTGCCTCCCTAACTGTTCTTCCTCCCACCTATCCCCTCCTCCCACCTCAAGCCGCACCTCCATCTCCTACCGACCAACCTCATCCTGCCCCCTTGACCTGTCCGTCCTCCCTGGACTGACCTATCCCCTCCCTAACTCCCCACCTACTCTCACCTTTACTGGCTCCATCCCCGCCTCTTCGACCTGTTTGTTTCCTCCCCACCTATCCTCTCCTCTATCCCTCTTCTATCCGCCTCCCACTCTCTCCCTATTTATTTCAGAACCCCCTTCCCCTCCCCCTTTTCTGATGAAGGGTCTAGGCCCGAAACGTCAGCCTCTCTGCTCCTATGCTGCTGCTTGGTCCGCTGTGTTCATCCAGCCCTGCATCTTGTTGTCACATGCTGCTATTTGGAGCAACTCCCTCTTATCCCCATTCTCTGCCTTCTGTTGCTCAGCCACTCTTTGAACCAGGTCAATCTTTTACATTTAATTCTGTGAGCTTCCACTATAACTAATAATCTCTAATGTGGGAATAAATCACCAGTCTTCTGGGAGTCTATACAATTAACATTCATAGATATTCCCCTGTCTGCTCCCTTCAGCACTTCTTCAAAACATTCCATCAGTTTCAACGGAATGAACTGTCCCTTTCCAAATCCATGCTCGCTGTCCCTGACTGCACTGAGATCGATGAGTGTGGAATGGCTGATTTTGAAGGTAAAACTTAACAAGGAACTTACTGTTTGATTGGTCTGTTACATCATAGGCATCCAATTCATCATCTGCAATCAAACATTTATTGGATCAATCCAACATTTGATTGTGATTTCAGTCAAATAGCACTTCGAAAAGGAAAGAGCTTACATTTATGTGGCACCTTTCACATCCTCAAGATATCATCTTCCTCCACTTCCACTTGATTCCCCCTTCCCTGGTACCCTATCCCCCAGGAAACCACTCCCTCCAGAATCCCTTACCCAGGAATCCATGTCCCCCAGGAATCTACTCACACCAGAAATCCTGGTCACTAAGGAAGATCCAGTGAGTAAAATAAAAGCAAATATTACAGATGCTGGAAATTTGAAACAAACAGAGAGAATGCTGGAGAAACTCAGCAGGTCCAGCAGCAATCTGTGGAGCGAGAAAGAGCGTGAACGTTTTGAGTCCAGTATGACACTCCTTCAGAACCCACTTCTTCAGAAGATCCAGAGCGTGTGTCAATGAGCAATTTAAGAAAAAAAACTCCTTCCAGCCAAACAAGCCACATAGCCTGGAGTTTAAATTCAGGTATCCAATGGAGAAAAAAACCTTTGGGACTTTGTCTTTTCCAGAAGGCACTGAGGCTCAGTGGGAGGCACTCTGGCTTCTGATTCAGAAGTTGTGTGTTTGAACCCCACTGCAGACCTTGGGCATAGCAATCCAGGAATGCCCAGTGTCAGTGAGGGAGTGCTATGCTGTTGGAAAAGTTGCCTTTTGGAGGAAACAAAAGACAGAGGTCCCATCTTCTGATGCGGGTGGACGTCAGAGATCCCATGGCCAAAACTGGAACCAGGGCACTCAGTTCATTTCGGAACTAAGGTCAGGAAAACAAATGAGTGGGTCAGTCTTCAGTGCTGCTTGCTGTGTGTCACTTGGCTGTGAATCACTTCAGGAGGTTCTGAGATAAGGAAGGTTGTTGTCCAAATGTGAGTTAATCTTTCAGCTTCTGAAGCACAGCTTCTCCCCCTGCCCGTGTTCCGTGCTGCCCTCCCCCCTTCTCTTCTCTCATCTTCACCTTCCCCTCCTCACACACTCCTTCCCTTTTCATCATGTCCTATCCATCATTCCCAATTCGGTCTCCTCCCTCGCTGCTCAATCAATTTCTCAGTTACCTGTGGGTCTGCTGTGAATCTGCTGAAACATCATCCTGTACCAATCCTTTGGCTTGTTCACACTCTGTTCAAAACACAAAACACAGCAAGAGTCAGATGGCGAGACTGAGAGAAGGACAGAGATAGAGACAGACAGGCAGACAGCGAGATAAACAGAGATAGAGATGGAGAGACAGAGACACAGACAGAGAGAGAGAAGGGGGTGCACAGCTCCATTAAACATGTAGCCTCTCACTAGCCTGAGTCTGTATTTCCCATACCTTCATTACCGTTACATTTGGAGGGGTCTTGGCATTTCTGAAAGACCTACAATCACGATTCATCTTTCACTCAGCATTACTGACAATGTGCAAAGCAAAGTCTGGATCATTTCATTTGAATAGAAATCCACTGCAGATCCAAGAGGTTTAGGGCTTTCTGTCAGCAATGGTTTTGGAGATAGTCTTGTGCTTGCAGCGTTTCTATTCAGTCTCTTTGTACAGTTACTAACTCACAAAGGAGATTCTCCCCACAGTGATTCAGGACAGGTTGGAGTTTAAACCCCAGGGGCTGGTACCCAGATTCTCGGGATTAGAAATGGAAATTGGAATTGTAAACAGGCCATAATCCTAGAGTCTGGGATTCGCCACACAGGCAGTAATCGGGAGTGTGGTGATTTTGGATTCAGTGTTTTGACTGGATCATTTCACACTGATTGTTGTAATGAGCTTGTCCTTGTCTTGCTGATGTTATCTGCTGAAAGAATGAACATCAATGAGGAATGTAAAGTCACAGAGAGTCAGGAATATTCTGTCACAAGGTTCTCACTTACTGGTCTGGAAGCAATAGGCATTCCCACTTCATCCATCGGGCCAGCACCTTCATACTTTATCCAGATCTTTTCCCGTCGAGCTTTGGTTTTATCCTGAGTTGTTCCAGTGTCCACTGCAAGGGGGTTTTGGATAGTAAGCACTGAGCACAATAATTGTACAAACAGGACAAACTGTATATAAACAGAGAAAAGCTCATTCTCCACATCTAACATTCCCAGGACAGGGTCATCATGGAGTTAGATACACAGTCAAGCTCTCTCTACACTGTCCCTATCAAACACATCCAGGGCAGGGATTCCATAGGGCTAGATACAGAGTAAAGCTCCCTCTACACTGTCCCCCATCAAACACTCCCAGGGCAGGGACAGCACAGGGTTACATTCACAGTAAAGCTGCCTCTACCTTGTCAAAAGCATGAAGTGTAGTCAGTTTGAAACATGTTCTGTGTTCTATGTCCCTCCCTTTGACATGTTATATAACTTACCCCTGGGCTGATCAGTGGGTGCTACATCTGAACATGCAGAGTGTCCTTCAGTTCCATTCGTCTCCAGAACCTGTGCACAGACAGCAGAGGGACAGAGGAGGAAAGAATGAGTGGTGACAGGGGGACAGAGTGAGAGAGAGGAAGGGGAGAGAGGTGAAACAGAGGGAGAAGATAGAGAAGAGGGAACAAAGAAGATAGAGGGGAGGAGATGGGAGAGAGTGGAAGAAGGTGATGGGAGAGATGGGGAAAGAGAGAAGACAGACAGGGTGGGAGGGGAGAGGAAACAGTGAGTGAGTAAAAGCACAGTAAGAGATGAAAAGGAAAGAGAGTGTGAACACCGAGAGCCACAGAGTGAGACAGCAAAATTGCGAGAGGGGAGGCAGAAGAAAGTGGGAAGGAGAAGTTAGAAAGGGGGAGTAAGAATGATAGGTAAGCAGCAGGAAGAGAAACAAACAGCATTTGAGAGAATATGAGCCAGATCCTGTGAAGAAACAACAATGAATGAAGACACAATCCTGACTCACAGCTCGTCCATCTCCAAATCTGAAGCCCAGGTTATGTGAGTCCCAGAAAGATTCAGGTGGAGCCCATGCCAGTGGAAGAGCTCCCTTCTTGCCCAGTACTGGTGCCAATGTCTCATTAATTCAAACCCATATCCCCCATGCCAATCTTTACCTCTTGCCATGATCATTATCTGGATGTTCATCATCAGCCATGATCAGCCATGAATGAAAGGTCTGAATGGCTATTTTCTATGCTTCTGATGTTAGTAAAACTGAGGGCACTGCTCTCTCCTCCTGTCCAATCATCTTTAAAGACATGCACATATATACCCTCTGCTCCTGCACCCCCTTCACAGATGCGCCCTTTATTTTAGACTGTCTCTCAGCATTCCTCTTCCCAAAATGAATCACTTCATGCTTCTTTGCTCTGAATTTCATCCATCAATCTGCCCTCTCCAGCACCTTATCTGTGTCTTTTGAAGGTTGCAACACTGTCCCCTTCACAGTTCACTAGGCTTCACCAAGATTGACTCAGTAAGAGATGCCAGGAGCAGCTACAGTCCCAACACCAAACAGAAAATTTGCACCACACCAAACAACAGTTGATCTCCACTCCTCTCGGTCTCCTAATGCTCAGCTCATTTTGTGTCCTTGCTGCAACGGTCCCTCTTTCTCCAGGAGTTGAACATTTTCTGAAGCTCTGTGACCCTGTGTGACAGGTCACAGGCACAGGGAATGTGACTGGGATTCATTACCAGAGCTGGATTGTGTGGTTCGGTCCATCCATTGACAGCTCTTCCTGGAGAAAAGTCGAGCTCTGTGTCCAGCTGATTCAGACGTTGCGAAGGGACAAAATCATTGGGTGTGGGAACACGATCAGAGCTGGAGCAGGGAGGGCTGGCAGATTCCCCTGGTGACGGAATCTTCTTCCGCAATGTTCCACCTGGTTGCTCGGCCAGCTGGACGCTCGTGTGTTTGGAAATCATGAAGATTTTGGGCTGACAGACAGGCCCATCCTGAGAAAACAAGGCCAATAGATAGGAATAATGTTGATAAGGATCAGCAACTGTGTCTGTACCAGAAGGCATGGAAGGAACTTAACAATCGACATATCAAGAACTCCTACTGACCTCAGATTGAGGATGGGCTGCACTGTTGGAGGATCAGTGCTGAGGGAGTGCCGCACTGTCGGAAGGTCAGTGTTGAGGGACTGCCGCACTGTCGGAGGGTCAGTGCTGAGGGAGTGCCACATTATCAGAGGGTCAATGCTGATGGAGCGCAGCACTGTCAGAGGGTCAGTGCTGAGGGAGCGGCACACTGTCGGAGGGTCAGTGCTGAGGGAGTGCCACACTATCAGAGGGTCAATGCTGAGGGAGCGCAGCACTGTCAGAGGGTCAGTGCTGAGGGAGCGCCACACTGTCGGAGGGTCAGTACTGAGGAAATGCTGCACTGTTGGAGGGTCAGTACTGATTGCTGCTGTGTTTTAGAGCTAAATCGTCCTTCTGTCTGCTCCTTGAAGGGTTTAAGAGAAGCTTAGATGGAAAGGCATCATCCTGTAAATAGAGATCCCATAGGATTGTTTGGGACTGAGAGATCCCAAGGGATTGGGTGCTAGGGAGAACCCAGAAGAAGAAAGGAGCAGGAGTAGGCCGGTTGGCATATCGATCCTGCCACTCTGTTGAATAAGACGATCGCTGATCTGAAGGACAGAGATCCTTGGGATTAGGTTGTGGATAGTGTGTGGGACAGTGGCATGGTTAAATGATGAGATAAATGAGCAAGTTGTGAAGGGAAATGAAGCTTGTGTTTTCCTAGGCTACCGAGATAATGTGAATGAGAGGGGATCGAGTTCCACCAGATGTGACATTGAAAGGAGACATGGCAGAGAGTGTAATTTCCAACAGGTGTTAGATGACAGGAAGTGGAAGAAGAGTTTGTAGGATGGAACTTCAAACCAATAACAAAGTTCACAAGGCAGAATGAATCTAAGAGATGGAAAAAAAAACTGCTGGACTGTCAGAGGTCAAAGCTCTTTCCCAGGGTCTAAGATTTTTATGTGTATTGAGGACAGGTCAGTGACAGGTACAGATACACGTTGAGAGATCTGGGTTCCCTGAGTGGCAATCTGTCAAGAAACTGCACAGTGATAGGAACTGACATCCACCCACTCTCCAAGTTGTGAATGAAACAGCAAACACAACACCTCCTGCACTCAGGAAGCAGTTTCAGCAGCTATCACCAGCAGTCAATCCTGGCTGGGACAAGAAGTGACAATATTCAACACTCAAGCAGGAGGCAGTGAACACAAAGTCTTCTGCTTGTCAGCATGAAGTAACAGTGGGTTAACAGCTATGCAAACCTTGGGCATAAGGTCACTACTTACCCGGGGCTCCATTCTGGAAGCTGTGGGGAATGTTTGCTTCAGTTCCATGTCCTGGCTTTCTTTACAGATCTGTGCAGAAGAACATTGAAGGGTTAAATGAGAAAACATGACAGCCAGTCACATGTTTTCGGGCCACACACTTCCTTTCCCCAAAGCCAGGAACAAGACATTAGGAAGGACACGGAATAGAGAAAACACAAGCATCCAGTGAGGCACTCCCAGCACCCGGAAAGCCCCACTGTGCATCCTCTCAGCAGATAAATAATCCCAAAGTCACTCCAGCCCAATGGTGTAGGCCAGTGAGTTAACAGGGCTGCTCATCAATACGAGTGATGTTGTTTCCTGTAACACAGCAACAGATACCTTGGTGTCACACTGACTGACATACCAGTGTCACACCGGAGCACACAACAGGAGCTAGGTGCATGCAGGTGTTCCGATATAAAGACTCCTCAGACTGTCAGTGTTCCCAGTCTGCACACAGCCCATTAGCAGGGTACAAATACACACACAGCCACAATGTGCACAGTCCTGAGTTTAAACACACACACACACACACACACTGTGAGAGACATGTCTTGCTGATGGACTAATTGAGCACAATATTTAGGAACCTCAATATAGGAGCAGAAGTGGACATCCAACAATTTGCCACCTCAGGTTTCTCCCACGATCAGGGAGTTAAGTCTCAGTGCAGCAAACTGTCAGATAGCAATGTAGCAGAGTGCAGATAAATCCACCCCAATCACTTGTCTATGAGAACACAGGGACATTCACATTTACTTGCACACACCCACACAGACAGACAGACATTGAGGCATTTAGACCTAGATGCACAGACACCACACACACACACTATTCCTGCAGATTCAAAGGTAGAAAATGTCACCGCACTATTTAAAAAGGAACAAGCGAGGAAACACTTGTTAGCCTTATATCAGTGGAAGTGAAAATGTCAGAATCTGTAAGAAAGGATGGTGTGAAGAGACAATTGCACAACAATGATCTAATTGAGCACTGTCAGCATAGATTTGTGAATAGGAATTCATGTTTTCATGAATTTGGAGGATTTGGATGGACTCAGTGACTGGATAAAAACATGGCAAATGGAATATAATGAATGTGAACTTACCCACTTTGATAATCGAGAGGGGCTGGAAAGTGTGGATGATGAGATGAGGTGTCGTTGTTGGTAAGTCGCTGAAGGCTAACAAACAGGAACAGCACGTTATTAGGAAGCCTACTGGAATGTTGCCTTTTATTCGAAGAGGATTTGAGGACAGCAGTGGTGAGGGTTTGGGGCTAGCCAGATACATGACAGTCTTAGCTGGGCACGCTACAATTGGAGATAGTACCCGGTAGTTTGCTCCAACAATAAAGTGGCCTTTTCAAATAGTCCGTGCTGATCTTCCATGGCCAGTAACGTGAAATGCATAATTCTGAATCCATTCCTGGTTCACCAGACTTGTTCCCGGGATGGTGGAACTGTCCCATGAAGACAGACTGGGAAAACTGGGTCTGCATTCTCGAGAGTTTTAAAAAATGAGAGATGACCTCATTGAAACTTACAAATATGTAAAGGGACAATTACTTAGAGGTAGAGGTGACTAAGATGTTTCCTTGGTTGGGGGCAGGGAGGGGGTTTCTAGAACCACAGGGACAATTTAAAACTACGGGGACACCATTTTGGGCTGAGATGAGGAGAAAATATTTTGCTCAGAGGGTTGTGACCCTATGGAATTCTATACCACAGATGGCTGTTGAGTATGTTTTTGGAGTATGTTTTAGGCAGAGATTGATAGGTTTCTGATTACCAATGGCGTACAGAACTGTGAGCATGAGGTGAGTAAAAGGCATTGAAGTTTTCAGTCTGTTATGCGTTAAATAGTGCAGTAGACTCCATAGGGCTGAATGGCCTATCCATAGACATACATGCACTCTCTCCTCGGTTTCTTTACACTTTTCTGTTACTGAAACACCAGAACAGAAGGTTTCCTTATAAACTGTGGTTATTGTGATTAATAAGTGATGTGATTTCAGGAGCTGCGACCACTATCAGAAGCACTGGATTTGTTCAGTCTAAGTCCAGCCCAGTGTACACACATCTATCTAAATTCAAGGAAGTATTGGACTCAAATCCTCAAAACTCATGGTGAATCATCAGAGATCGGGAGAAGTATGAAATGAAAATGTCAGTCTGATATTTTTTGGGGCTATTCCACCCCAGGGTTGCTCTATAAAAGACAAATCATTTCTGCAGATTACAATCATTTGAAAAGAGGTCAGCCCTGCGGTGACCTTAATGAATACAGTGAGCGTCGAGGAGAACTGACGGAGACATTGAGATTTGTCATGACTTGGAGGATTGGGATGAGTCACATCAGGACTGAGGTTATTTCTACTTTGCTGCACTGGAAGAATTTTATAATTAAGTTATTTACTCAGTGCAATTATTGAGTTACTGACTGACTGAACATACAATTACCACTGACTGAACTTAGTAATAAATTCAGTTGCTGCCTCACTTTAATCATTAATCTCTTTCCAATTTCTTTTCCACTATTTGGTGGAAATCATAGAGTTGCTCAGAACAACTAATGATGAATAAAGTGCTTCAGATGATAAATTAATAACCAGAATAGTGTTAAAATGGATTCAAAATTATGTACCTCATATAAATGGCCACAGGAGAACAGCACAGACTATTTGAAAAGGCCACTTTACTGTTGGACCAAACTACCAGGTACTATCTCCAATTGTAACATGCCCATTTATAGGTAAGACTGTAAGGCATCTGGCTAGCCCCTAACTCCACGATACTCTTTGACTATAGATTATGATGCATACTGGAATAACAATTGCAACAGAAATCAGTAAGAGTATTTGAAAGGCAGGACAGAGGCGAAGGCTGGAGTAAGGAAGGGTAAGAGGAAGCATGAGAAAAGGATGGCAGGCTGCACTAAAACAAATAGTAAAATGTTCTTCAAACTTATTAATAGTATAAGATGAGTGAAAGATAGAGTGGGGTCCCATAAGGAACAAGCAGGGTAAGCTGCTCACTGAAACAAAGCATCAATTGTTTTATCCAATTAGAAAATGGTGAGAATGGCCCCTTTAAGAAAGTGGGTGCTGAGCAACTGAGCAGTATAGTGACAGATAAAGAGGAGGTACTAAAAAGGCTGACAGCACTTCAGGGGAGAGATGTCTCCAGGCCCTAATGGAATGCATCCTCAATTGCTGGGAAAGAGGTAAGGGAGCAAATAGCAGAGACCTTGACAGAAATTTTCCAGGCCCCTCTGAATGCAGGATTAGCCCCAGGGGAACTGAGGATCGGAAATGTGACACTGTAGTTTAAGAAAGGGGGCAAACAATAACTCAGCACACGACACACCTTTCAGCTTGACCTCAATAGTGGGAAAACTGATGGAGGCCATCATGTAGGATAAGATTAAATGCATGCTTGGAGAAAAATAAGTTAATACCAAATAGTCAACATGGTTTTGCCAAGGGCACGTCTTATGTGACAAATTTAACTCAGTTCTTTGACGAGGTGACACAGGAAGAGGATGATGACAATGCTGTGGTTGTTGTATAGGTGGATTTTCAGAAATCATTTGCTACAGTGCCAGAAAGCAAGTTGGTTAGCAAATTAGAAACGTTTGGGATTGATGAGTCTTTGGCAGCATGGATTAGAAGTTGGCTAAAAGACAGGAAATAGACGGTAGGCACAGATAGGCATTTCTCAGATTGGAGATGAATTGAAAGTGGTTCTCCCTAGGGATTGGTGTTGGGACCCTTGCTTTCAATGATTTATATAAACGATTTCGAACGAACTCTGACGTCCAGAGACACTTGAAAACAGACAGCAAAGGCAGCAGCTGGACAGGTTACTGCTGGGTCAGACAGTAGTGTAGGTTTCTTTCTCTGTTTGAATCACTTCCCATAATGGTCACTACCCTTTGTCCAAATTCCTCCTTTTTAAAGTGCCGTTGTTTTGAGATTTTTTCCCCAAAGTTGCAAAACAATGCAACAGCTTATAAAACAGTAATTGTTGTTCCTAGAATTTGAGGAAATCAGCTCCAACACTGAAAATCCCTCAAAAAAGGAGCAGCTGTTACAGCCACAATTCTTTCTTATCCTACATCTTGGATTAGTGTGACTGGGGCCTGAGATCAGCAGTGTACCACAGAGATTGGTGCTGGGTCCACTGCTGTTTGTCATTTATATAAACAATTTGGATGTGAACACAGGAGGTACCGTTAGTAAGTTTGCAGATGACACCAAAATTGGAGGTGTAGTGGAGAGCAAAGAAGATTACCTCAGAGTACAACGGGATCTTGATTAGATGAACCAATTGGCCGAGGAGTGACAGATGGAGTTTAATTCAGATAAATGTGAGGTACTGCATTTCGGAAAGGCAAATCAGGTCAGCACTTAATGGTAGGATCCTGGGGAGTGTTGCTGAACAAAGAGACCTTGGAGCGCAGGTTCATAGTTCCTTGAAAGTAGAGTCACAGGTAGACAGGATAGTAAAGTAAGTATTTGGAGTGTCTGCCTTTATTGGTCAGTGCATTGAGCATAGGAGCTGGGAGGTCATGTTGCAGCTGTACAGGACAGTGGTTAGGCCACTACTGGTCTCCCTGCTACATGAAGGATATTGTGAAACTTGAAAGGGTTCAGAAAAGATTTACAAGGATGTTGCCAGGGTTGGAGGGTTTGAGCTATAGGGAGAGCCTGAATAGGCTGGGGCTATTTTCCCTGGAATGTCGGAGGCTGAGGGGTGACCTTATAGGGCTTTATAAAATCATGAGGGGCATGGATAGGGTGAGTAGCCAAGGTCTTTTCCCCAGGGTGGGGGGATTCAAAACTAGGTGAAAGGTGAGAGGGGAAAGATTTAAAAGGGACTTAAGGGGCAACTTTTTCACACAGAGGGTGGTGCGTGAATGGAATGAGCTGCCAGAGGAAGTGGTGGAGGCTGGTAAAATTACAACATTTAAAAGGACCTGGATGGGTATGTGAATAGGAAGGGTTTAGAGGGATATGGGCCAAATGCTGGCAAATGGGACTGGATTTACTTAGGATATCTGGTCGGCACGGACCAGTTGGCCCAAAGGATCTGTTTCTGTGCTGTATGTGTCTATGACTCTATGATTTGGAGACGGATGTTGAAGCAAAAATCTCTAAATTTGCAGATGATACTAAGCTGGGGAGTAAACTGGATTATGAAGATAGTGCTGAGCAACTTCTGAGACACATTGACAAGTTGGCCAAATGGGCAGATACGTAGCAGATGAATTTCAATGCACAGAAACGTGAGGCAATGCATTTTGGTTGAAGAAACGCTGAGAGACAGTACAGACTCAAAGGTACAACTTTGAGGGGTTGCAGGACCACAGGGATCTCAGGGTTCAAATGCATAATTTCCTGAAGGTGGCCAGGTAAGTTGAGACAATTATTAAGAAGGCTTATAGGATCCTTGGGTTTATAATTAGAGTCATAGAGCATAAAAATAAGGAAGTAATGCTACACCTCCACAAATCATTGTTCAGACCACCTTTAGAGGACTGTGTTCAGTTCTGTCACCTTATTTAAGGAAGGATGTTAAAGCCCTGGAGAGAGTTTAAAGGAGGTTTACCAGAATGGTACCAGGAAAGAGGGATTTTTGATACAAGGAAGGATTAGAAAACCTGGGCTTATTCTCCTTGGAGCAGAGAAGATTAAGAGGTGATCTTACTGATGTGTTCAAAATTATGTACAACTTTGACAGAGTAAATAAGGATATTCTGTTTCCACTAGTTAGTAACAAGGGGTCACAATTTCAAGATTTTTAGCAAGAGAGCTAAGAGTGAGATGAGGAGAAACTTCTTTACTCAGAAGTGTTAGGAATGCACTGCCTGGGGTAGTGGTGGAGATGGATTCCGTAGGAGGTTTCAAAAGGGAGCTGGATATATATTTCAAAGTGATGTATTTGGAGACCTACAGAGCTAGTGCTGGAGAATGGGACTCCCTGGGTAGCTCTTCTGGGCCTAGGACTCTACCCTGAGGAACTCTTGCAGCGATGTCCTGGAGCTGAGGTGACTGATGTTCAGAGGTATGTGAGCATTTGAGTTTCTGTTTACATTGCAGAGTTAATAATGCAGATGGAATGGTTAATACTGTATATTACAGATCTCTTCCTGTATTTCAGAGGGTTATCTCAAAACTTCATGCGGTAATACTGTGATGTTGAATGTTACAAGGTAAATTGTGACTTTTGCAGGTTTAAGTTTGATTATTACAAGTCCAACATTGTGCATTTCAGTTTCAATACTGTTCCACAGCTTTTCAGTGGATTAGCACAGACTCCACTGTGGAGTTCGAGTGCCTAACACACAGAAATTCAACATATTATTGTATTATATTCTGTTTCTGTCCGAGGCACACTCATTCCCTGAGCTGCCACTGCTTGGATCCGGCAATTGTGTACAGCTTTCCAAACGGCCAATATTACTCATTCTTTTCCATAACACTGAGCCAAACCACACACACATTTATTGCAAAGGGACTCTGCGAACTTGGACAGAGAGAGGGCTGGGCTGAAGCAGATCTGTATACCAGCCTTCTCTCTCCAGATTAATTTCTCACAGTCAGGGGCACCACAGGAAAAACTTACAGTTCTGTCACACATCTCTCACTTCTTCTTGGACAGCCTTAAGTAAGTTAGCAGTGAACAAAATAATTAATGAAGATTTCAACTGTTGTAATGGAAGAGACAAAATAGCCAATTAGTGCACAATAAGTTCCCAGAAACAGCAATGAGATCGTGAGCAGCTAATCTGATATACAGATGTCAGCTGGAGACAAAATGCGGCTGCACCATCATTTATATCCCCACATGAAACTTCATTTTAACCGCACTCCCTCAGTACTGACCTTCTGATAGTGCGGCACTCCATCAGTGCTGACCCTCCGACAGTACGGCACTCTCTCAGTACTGACCCTCCGACAGTGCGGCGCTCCCTCAGTACTGACCATCCGACAGTGCGGCACTCCCTCAGTACTGACCCTCCAACAGCGCGGCGCTCCTTCAGTGCTGACCCTCCGACAGTACGGCGCTCCCTCAGCACTGACCCTCCGACAGTGCGGCACTCCCTCAGTACTGACTCTCCGACAGTGCGGCGCTCCCTCAGCGCTGACCCACCGACAGTGCGGCGCTCCCTCAGCGCTGACCCTCCGACAGTGCGGCGCTCCCTCAGCGCTGACCCTCCGACAGTGCGGCGCTCCCTCAGCGCTGACCCT